ATACAAAACTGGCACGTACGGAACGTCCCACTATACAACCACTGTGCCCGATAGATACCACAAACCAAAATCAAGCCAAGGAACCAAAATAGAGTAGCGCTAGAATACAGTCCGCTGAACCAGTATTTGGTATCGTTATTCCACGAACCATGACGCCCACGTCTTCGGTGTGCTACGTCCCAACCGTTGAGTGACCACACAAACGCATGACGCGTGACAAAAAACCTATATTGCTCACCCCTCGAACGCGGGCTCCGTGCACAAAACCACCTCGATCCTGCTCTTCAGCCACTTGAGCACGTCCGGCCCAAGGGTCGCGCAGTCATGCAGCTCTAAATGGCGCAGGCGCGCGGGGCCAAGCCCAAGACCCGCCGCGGTGGCATTAGCCTGCATGTCGGGGTTGCGCGCCTCGACCATCTGCACGAGTTTGTGCACGCCGTCCGTGTGAGCGTGGCAACCGCGCAGCGCGAGCGTGGTCAAATTCGGGCAGACCCAGTGCTCCGCCTGCGCCTGCATGTGCGAGGGCACTTGTGCATCGTCGTCGGTGGCGCCGAGCGCAGTGAGCAGCGGCTCGAACGGCGCCCCGCCGACTTGGAGCGTGCGCAGGTGGTCGAGCTCGCTCAGGAAGTGCCACGTCGCGACGCCCGCACCGCCGCCGTAGTAAAACGAGCTCGACCCCGAGCAGAGCGTGTAGCTCAGAGAGAGTCGTGTGAGCGGCGGGTTATTGGAGCGCGCGAGCAGCGCCGAGACGGTATCCTCAATCGGCTCGCGTGCGTCAATGTCCAGGACGAGCGCCTCTAGTGACGGCAGGACGAAGGCATCCGCGAGGCTCGACAGGAGATAGTGTCCACCGAGCGTCAGTGACTTGAGATCGCGTAGTACAGTCGGCGTGAGCGGGAGCACGGGCGGGTTTGGCGAGCTGAAGTGCAGCGAGAGCGCCTCCAGCTGTGGATTCGCTGTGACCATGAACATTACGCGATCCAGAGCAGGGTGCATCGTCGGCAGCGTGCGGATAGAGAGCGAGCGCAGATTTCGCAGCATCGGCGACGACCATTTGAACGGGACGTTGTTCAGAGTCAGCGATGTGAGGTTGCCGATATCGACAGCCATGCTGGACGGCGCCGAGGGCAGCCACTTCCAGTCGCCGTAGAATGCTGGCTCTGCCGCCGACACTTCAAACTCCTCTAGTAGCGGCGCGTCACCTACGATCACGGTCAGCTACCTTCGTTCGTCTCGAGCACCCGACGCTCACCTTCAATCGCCCTGAGCGCGGCGACGGACGTGAACTGCTTCTCAAAGCGGAACACAAATCGCTGCCAGCGGTGCATCTGCTCGACCAGGTAGAAGAACGCGATGTGGCCCCAGTGCATGTTCTTCTTGTTCCGCTGATGGTTCGACAGTTTCTCTCGCTCGCTCGAACCCGAGGCCGCTGCGGGCACAAGCGGAGGCATGCCCCAGAGATCGTCGTGTGCGTGTACCGTCGCTCCGCCGTGTCCATGCTGCACTATAGGGGCCGTGGCACCTAATGTTGGAGGCGGCTGGAAGAGTGTGATATTTGGTGGAGGTTGGATGATATACGTCGCCGCACCGCCCAGCCCGCCTTGAGTTGGGGTAGGCGGTGGCGGTATCCAGCCCCAGTCCGACACAGAGTGCGCCGGAGGCGAGATGCGGCGCCGGGGTGGAGTGTCGCCCGGAGAGGAGGGGTGCGAACGGAGAAGTATCTCGATGTCTAGTGGGACTGTAGAGCCCGAGCGTTCCAGCCACAGTCGTACTGTATCCGCAGATGTTGACTGTGTTGTAACAAGACGGATCTGGCGACGAAGACTATTAGCTGCGCCTGATCTAACATAGTAAACGGTCGAAGACGAGAGTTATAACGAGCAGGGGTGCCATTCCCTTCGACCCGGCTTATCCGTGTTCCATTCGCAACTGACCCTCTCGGGATCTCGCCTCTACCACATGTCGTCAGGGGCCCTTTCATGGGCCAGGAAGACCGGTATGTCAAGACTGAAATCGAGCATCCCTTCCCTCCTCCCCAAGAGCGGGGCTCTCCCAGCTACGCTAGCAAGCATGACGAGAAAATTCGCTCACCTTGGACCACATCGTCGGCATAGACAGCACCTGCCTTCGCCACAGCACGGATACCGCGGACAGGACCCACGCGCAGCACGGATACTCGTCGAAGTTCAGCAGGAAGATGTACCGCAGCAGTTCGTGCGGCAGACGGCGGATCGGAGCCACATACGCGAGCGTGTGTGCGACGTGCTCCTGCAGCTCGTCGCGCTCCTTCTCCAGCTCACGGATCGCGCTCTGCGCAATGGCGACTGTGCGCGCGAGCTCTTCCTCGGCTGCGCAGATTCGGTCGGACAGCGCTTGGACGGACTTCTGCTGCGCCGTAAGTTCACGGCGTGCCTCAGCGAGGCTTGCCCGCGTCGGCGGCTCGGGGTGAGGTGAACTAGCAAAGTAGGGCGCCATGGGGCGGTGAGGATGGTGAGAGGGGAGGACAAGATGAGTTCTGGACCTTCGCGTGGACTGAGCGCTGAGGCACATGATGGGCGATCTCAGATTCAATTCTGCGACAACGCCCGTCCTTAACGCCGTACGTCGATGGTTTGATGTTGGTTTCATGCGCAGGGAACGTACTGGGCTCGCGCTCGGGTTGTGCTGGACCATTTAATAGCCGATAAAATGGACCGTCCGATCGCGAGTTACAGCACGGACAGGGGTACAGTTACTACGGAATGGTGTGGTGACCTGACGGGCACGGAAGGAAAATAGAGCTGTCTGACAATCCTGGAACCCAGCACCAAAATCAATGTTCGATTGACTTGCGTGGTGGTACACGTACGAGAGAGTTAACACACTACACCACGAATAGCGACAAGAGCACAATGCCGATTTGCCTGAGGGCGGCTAGTTGACTTAGCATTGGATACCATTAAATTGTTGATTCTACGAGCAGTCGTGGGTTATCTGGATTGTTATGTTTCACAGGCAAGTAGTACGTGAGCAAACCTCAAGTCGGAGGAAGCCAACCACCATTACTGTTTATATCCATACATCGCTTCGGCATTTGCCGTGACGACCGTCGAACACCTGAGCCGTAACCAAGCTGCCTTTACGTAACTGCGCTCTCGATGCTCAGACGGACGGCTTCTCACTGAGAATGATGTCGACATTCTTTGCCGTTAGCTGCGGTCCGGCGCGGGCCCGAGTAAGTACAGGCAGTGCCCGGGTCACTTGGCAGATGCGGTCGTAAGAAAGATTTGCACTACTAGTACAGTGCAGTTGAATCCTGGATACGTAACGCAAGGGAGTGTAAGGCGACCGATCTACACAGGCGGTATATTGCTGAGAGTCCTCAGCCTTCGTAGCAGGCAGAAAATCACATCTGTGAGACCCTCTCGTGGCGCCATAGCCCAACCTCCCGTAGATGGACGAGCGGAGAATTCCGTACATCGGTGAGCGGTCCACCAGTATTGACAGTCAATTGTTTCGCTGTTCGGTCCTCGCTCACGCGAGACACTTGACAGACAGCCACAGCCCCAGTCTAGGTGATGCAAGACTTCGTCATTTCGCATGCGATAAGTGGAGAACGGGGATGAGCTCGCGCCGACGTGCAACGTAGCAGAGGTCGGGACATCCCTGCAGAACAGAATTTATGAGTAGTACCAAGTACAAAAACATCGACTCAGCGGCATACTCTCCTGATCGGCCTTTGATCCTTTGGGATGGAACGTTGTTCGCTGCGCACGCACACATCGGTGCCGAGCCTTCTTTCTCTGCTTGTCAGGCCACCGTGCATGCTCGGAACATAGTGAGTGATGGGCTCTGTTCCTAGATGCCTGTGAATGGATGTAGTTTCCCATTGCCAATGACGAGAAGAAACCTTGGCACCTGTGGACTGGACCATTTAATTTCCACCCTCGGGCAATCCCTCGGGAGCTGGCTATGCTTCGAGAAGTTCACGAACTTCGTCTGCTTAGCAACAATAAATAGGTGGTACCCCGTGACATGACCCCGGGTCAGTCAAGCGTCCTGTTAAGTGATCGTGTCAATGTCAATGAAAAGGAAAGGGCCGAGCCTACACCTTTAATCAATGTACGACCCGGAAGGCCTCGTACACAGCTATCACCGCAACGGAAGCACGGAGCGGGGCGGTTATAAGGCACCGTAATAACGAAGCATGAGCAAGCCCGCTTTACATCCGGCCCTGCATGGATAGCTACGTATGGATCTGTGGGAGCATCGTGAACACCGGTATCGTGGCGCAACTGTCGAAGACGCGGTAATAGCCACGCGTCAAGGTCGTCCAAGAAATTCGGCGAACTTACGGACATTGACATATCGACATACTAAATAGAGTTGACATGAGCATCGCTCCCGTGGGATGTTCGGAAGGCTGCTCACTCTGTCCTTCCGTCGTTCATTATTCGTTTGAATGAGTTGCGGCCCACTGATCGCCCCACCTACTACGTCGAGAATGCGACGATGATCAGCAGGACGACTGAACGGGTTGCGAACAGGATTAGTGTGCAAGGCGGGAAACGGCCGGATCTCACCTGGGGTCACTCAGACCGTTGGAAATGAACGAATGGCGTGCTTATCGGCCTATCACATCCGCTAGAGCGTCAGTTGCACCTTCCCCACTGCCCTGGGCTGGCCGGGCTCAACCCAGTCGTTGCGGGGCAGCGCGGGGATGTTTGGCTGGAGTTGGCCCGCCCCGCTGGCTGTGATGAGTCCAAGCCAACCAAGCGAGGGCGTTGTGGCGGGAACTACCCAATACGGATGCGCGCAATGCAAACGGGGGAATGGGCGCTCCGCGATCAAGATCTGGATCTTGGGATAAGATCTGATGGCTTCTTTGCCCAGCGCCTAAGCTTGATTCGGCCGACAACAGAATTGCGAGCGCGGTGCGGCGACAATGCGGGCGAGTCGAGATGTCGTACTTATTGAGTCTCGAATAGTAGAGGTACGGAGGTATATATGAGAGTAACATACGCGGCCGCGTACTGCACGCCTCAACATCGCCGCAAGTTCCCCCAACATCGCACGTTCGCAATGGCGGAAGTATCGGTATCACATGACGAATGTGGCAAGGGTGGCGGCGTCTTCAGCCACCCGCTCGCGTTCGCTTGCAACGCGAACGGCAGCCAACGGCCAAGGAAGCTTTCGTACGCCCATCTCATCAACCCTGAACCGCGCCGCTTGGCTTATATTCTCGTTGCTGCGCCTTTTCTTCAGGCTCTACGACCTTCTTTCACGCTGTTCATCCACCTCCTCGACCGCTTCATCCTCAGGCTCGACGTCCAGCTCGTGTACGAGCTTCAGCTCCGTTCCGTCTCCTAGACTGTCCAGCACGTCTATATCAGCATCTACGACCCCAGAGGCATCCAGCCTAGCATTAGAGACAGCGTTCACCACCATGTTGCACAGCGAGCTCGCCTCGCTATCCCCAGATATCTCCGCAGCCACCCACCGCGGGATGGCTGACGACCTGTGCGCCAAACCGCCTTTCGTATGGGACTGGGACATCGAGCACGCCGACCGTAAGGCTGAGACGAAAGCCGACGCCGCAGTGCATGGGGCACCACCATTCCAGGTCGACCGCAAGCTCTTGAAGGACATTGTTCACGAGAAGATGGGTGAGAATGTCGTGAGGATCAAGTTCCTCGGTGCGGGCACTTTCCACAAGGTGAGTGGCTGTGCTCAAACCGTTATCGACGTACCGTGGGCAGGTGGCAGACGGTGGATGTCCCACTTCGTGTCGATGCGGCATACGGACAGGATGGCTGAACGTCCTCGGAGTGCTGCCTGGGACCGGAGTGCAGAGTCTAAAGTGTAATCTGCGACACTTTCGCGCTCCTGTGCCCGTCCTCGAGTCGATGCCGACACGCCTATCGCTCTCACTCCGGAATAGACGAGTGCGGTGCCGAGATGGTTGTGGGAACCATGTCTCTGCCAGAGACGGAGAGGCGAACGGAGCGATGGGTACGGCCGCCGCGCCACGAGTTCTCTCCGCTTACAACGTGTCTCCACTAGTTGTTAGAGCTCGTATGCGTGCCCCAGGAGGTGCTTGCTGGGCATATAGCGGTCTGAAGAGGCTCGGTGTGAACGATGTGCCTACCCGTAGGCTATGACCTCTTCGGCACCTAGCGGTGGCCATTACGAGCGTACGCCTGCGGAGAGCCCGGCTTGCATTGTGTTGTCGCAATGATCCTGTTCGCCGTTACCTGGAGACGGGTCGTCTGTGCCAAATCCGGGCGGGATTTAGATCCGTCCGTGCAGCATGTATCCATATTCTATCCAGTTGTGGACCGGATCGTCGGAGTCCTCTTATCCGTCTTACTCTCCCAAATACAATGTTGTCGGTGAACGCAAGCTGATCGATACGTTCTGTCAGGCGTACTCAATCACGCTCGCGAGCGGAAAGGAGGTCATAGCGCGCGTCGCGCGGCGCTTTATGCCGCGACTCAAGACCGAGTCCGAAATTGCGACGATGCAATACCTGCGTGAGCGCACGAACGTGCCGGTGCCGGATGTCTACCACTACGATGCAAATCCGTACAACCGCCTTGGAGGCGAGTACATCATCATGTCTAAGGTGCGCTCAAGCTCTGCACCCCCTTGAGCATGTAGCTGAATGCCTCGCAGGCACCAGGCATCCCATTATCCAAGGTGTTCCACTCTCTGTCGCATGAGCAGCTCGTGGTGCTGATGGAGAACGTCGTCGCGCTCATCATCCCACTGTTCGCTCACCGCTTCCCCGGAATCGGCTCGCTGTACGCCGGACCTGACCCCGACGCTGGCCCTGCCACAGCCGTCCCGACGTGCTTCTCGTCCGCTGCGCCGACGCCGACAGTGGCGTTCTACCAGCCTGCCATCACACGGGCGCCGCTGTCGACTGCCGGCTCGACTGCGACTGCGACACCATCGGATGCATCGACGTCGACGCGCTCGCAGTTCCACGTCGGACCGATCGTCTCCTGGCCGTTCTTCGGCTCGCACCGAGGCGAGCTCGCACACCCGTCCGAGATGGACCGTGGACCGTGGGCGACGACAGATTCGTACCTGAAGGCGTGTGCGGCGCGCGAGGTCGTGGGTGTGCGGCGCGAGAACGATGGCAAGGCGGCGCCGCACCGGCTGCATCTCGACCCTGGCGAGGTCGACGCGAGCCGGCACCACCACGTCGAGGCGTTGCCTGGAGATGAGAGCGACACGAGCGAGGAATGGGACTGGGACGAGAGCGAGGACGAGTGGGAGGGCCCCGGGGACAATATGTATCGGGATTACAGGAGGATGCAGCGGTCGACGTTCTTGGTCGCGCATCTGAAGGAACGGGAGGAGAAGGTGAGGAGGGAGATGGAGCGGGTGGTGCGGATGATGGAGAGGCTGCGAGTGCCGGTGCCCGGGAGCGAGAAGCAGGAGGGCGACGGCGGTGGCGGCGGCGGCGCGGAGGAGTTCGGCCTGGACTGCCATGACCTGAGTCTCGAGAACGTCTTCGTGGACGAGCGTGATCACGCCAAGATCGTACGTGCCTGCCCGCCGTCGAATGTCTTATTGCTAACCGCTGTTGTAGACGTGCATCATCGACTGGGAGTCGACGACGACGCGGCCGCTCTGGGCGTGCGCACACGTGCCGACGTTCATGCAGTCCTCGCCGTTCACGTCCAAGCTCTTCCGCGCGATGGTAGAGCGCCTCGCCTCGCGTCCTGCATCGTCCGCGCTGCCGATTGTGATTCCGTCGTTCGCAGATGGGCATCCGACGCCTGTCGACATCGTGCACGCGGCGGAGGAGTGGCTGCACCATGAAGCTGCGGGCGCGCGGCTGCGGATGGCGCACCGGTGCATCGAGTGGGATGGGTGGGAGGAGGGCCTGGTGGACAGCATCCTGGGCCCGGAGGAGGAAGAGGAGGAATGGTTCAAGAGCTGGGAGTGCGGGCAGAGTGGGGTGCACACGCCTGAGGCGGTACCCGTGGAGGTGTACGGTGAAGGGGAGGCGGAGGGAGGGAGCGACGACAGCGGGAGCCCGACGCTGGTGGACGCGGCGTCGAGCGACGGGGAGCGCAAGGCGGAGGGCAACGCGAAGGCGGAGACGAGCGCAACCGGGAAGGCGGGCGGGAAGGGCGCGGTGAAGGTGCCGATGGCGAAGAAGGTGGTGCAATGCGAGAAGGAGAAGGAGAAGCTGCTGAAGGAGACGGGCGACTTCTGCGGCGGGCGCGGGGGCGAGCTTGGCCGGCGGCTGGAGGCGTGGCTGCACGTCAGCGGGGACGGCACCGGGCGCGTAGGTCTCGAACGGCGGTGGACAGGCGAGGGGTACGAGGATGTGGAGGTACCCCTCCGGCAGTGAACGACTCATGTGGTGCACATACAGTACCACATCCGTGGTGGACTCGTGCATATTTTACGAATGTTTACGTTTTCTCTTGGACATCATGGTCGTGTCTTGTTCGCTCACATGCGCTCTCGTTAACTTATGATCTTATCCGTCGCGAGCGTATCAAATGCCTCTATGCATGCATCACCGTTCTGTAGTTTGGCGTATGCCAGTGTATTGCTGACGAATTCTGTACCTAGACACTATTTCTTGGTTGCATATGTAGTGAGTCTTTGCGCCAGCAAGCTATTAATGTCCACGTAATGACTGAAACATCCTCAAGGTACCATGTTGCCAGATAAGCCCTTCGGAAAGTACGTCAACACGAATTCGCGAAGGCGAATCAATCCCTCTGACCGATGCAACACTGAGAAAGTTCAATGGGAATGGATGGATCACGTTATGACCCAGGAAGGCGCCTGTGACATAGTGGTGAACCGGTGACAGGCAGCGACGGTCGACGTCGCCTCTCTCCTTTTGTCAACGTACCTAAAACCCGTTGTGGCCACACTGACGGCTTGAAATCTGGCGTACGTGTAGGGCTCGCGACTTCGATGCACGTACAGATTTAGCTCACGGTCTTCATTGGTACCGTCCAGCAGTCACCTAGATTCCACACGTTCAATCTCAATCAAAGGACGTAGCCTTGCTACTGGCGTAAAATAGCCAGTGGAACTGTCGAACGCTAGTTGGTGGGTAACGCAGCAGTCAGCTATCGCGGGGTACACAACTCACACATCTTTCACAGGAAGTGCAATGGCATTCGATCGCGAGTTGGATCGATTGCGCACGCCCTCACCCCTTCCCGAGGATGTACTGGCACGTGTTCCCACTCAGGACCCTACGGCTATGCGGAATTGGCTGGTCAAGCTCAGCATTGTCGTTAATTCGAATGCACCGATCAACCGACTGCCGACTGAATTGCTCGCGGAGATCCTACGCTGCGTGCGAGCTGGCTGCCAGTATCTCTACCACTGGTCATTCGTCACCGTACTGGTGATCTGCCGTCATTGGTATAACATAGCAATCTCCTCTTCAAGCCTTTGGACCGATATCACAATCCGCATGCCACTTCGAATCATCGAGACGTACTTGCGACGTTCGCGCGGGGCTGGGATCTCACTTTCCACACTGGTGCATGCCTCAACGCCGTCTCATGACACCGTGACCCTTTTGAGCGTACTCTCCCCGCATTTCGATAGAGTTGCGCATCTGGATACATACAGCTCCCAACCCTACCTCGAGCATCGCATGGGTCGGCTGTCACGGTCTTCCCTGACTGTCAATGATTCCTTGCTCGATGTGTCGCACCCTCGGCCAACGACCCCTCGGGTGACAATCACTATACGTGGTGATCATTTCCCAAGGCTGGAATCCTTGACACTCCAGGCGATCGGATCGCGGGCGAAGGCAAGCATTGTGAATGCGCACTCTGTAACATCGCTCTGCTTGACAGCTATGTCAGGATCGTACGACACGTGGAATGACCTGCTGGGGTTACTCAGGGGCTGTCCAGCTCTGGAATATTTCACCATGTTCACCTTCGAATACCGCTTTATGCAAGCCATTGCTCTCACAAATGAGCGTATTGTCGAGCTGCACCGCCTCCGAAGGCTCACACTCGACCGAATTGAGGATACAGCGAGCCTATCGTTTTTCCTCGCACATCTCGCTGTTCCGCACACGGCAGATATCAAGGTTTCCACATATATCGAACCTTGGTGGGATGATTTACCCGACGATGTCAGCGTAGACTTCCAGGGCATCTTGATTGCAGACATTGTTCCCACCGACAAGACATTGTTGCCTGTGTTCTCCGCGATACGAACCGTGCAGACTACGCTCGATAGCCGACATCTGGAAGTAAAGGCATCTACCTCGCAAGGCCTGTCAAGTGCTAGCACCATCCAATCAGTCGCCATTTCTCATTCCCTGCCGTATCCGTGCAACCCCAGATCCGTTCAAAAACAGATCATGGTTGAGCTGGGCGCCGTATTCCCCTCATCGCTGACGGTGCTGCACATATACGTCAAGGGAGGGCATCATTCAAGTGACGATACGCGAGAAGGTTCCCTTCGACTTTCGGAGAGTTGGGAGAGCTTGTACGGAGCATTTCCACATCTCGAGGAGCTGCACGTTGGCGGGCCAACTCTGGATACCTTCACCGACTTCTTGTTCGATATTGGACCACCGCCATCATTAGCTGGGACACCGACACTACCGCCATGGCCGATGCTGAAGCGGTTGAAGTTCGAGTACACTGCGACGGAGCAGGAGCTCGACGAATCGGAGGCGGTCATCAGGTCCATTGTAACCTCGATGTGTAACCGTCAGCATATCATGTCCGTGGAACGTCTGGAGCATGTCATCCTCGTGAAGTTTCCAGAGGAACCGCCGTATCTGTGGAGGTACTTGGGACAGTTATGGGGTGTAACAGGAATCCTCATATGTAACGTCCGCGGCCAAGACCTGGCGCTCGACGAGGTAGTTGTTTCACTCGAATGGGGATCAACAGTCGCACCAACGCCGTTGCCGTGAAACTGTCGGTCACGGTGATGGGGACATGCAACCAGGCCGCAATCGTCACCGGGTCGAAATTCGGTCTTGACAACCTGGTGCCAACCAGTGACAGGGCGAAAAGTAGTGAGCTGGCAGTGATACTCGGAGCAAAAATGGTTTACGGTGGACCCTCAATGATCTTGGACTGATTGTCTCTTTCGAATAAGTATACTTCAACCCTCGCATCAGTACATAAGTATCATAACTCAGTTCTATGCATAAGTACAGATGCTTCGACGCACGTCCCGACAGACGCGTAGCGCTAGGCTAGGTCGCGCTGGAACAGAAATCTTGCCGGAGTACGGTATGTAGTACGACTTAGTCACTTACGCAGATTCTCCGCAAAGTTCACTCCGAGGTACGATGGCCTCCTGAGGAGGTCAAAGAGTTCAAACTTCACTCAATCGTATGCTCCAAGTTTTCTCGCTCGGACTCGGAACTCTCGCGACTCAAGAGTCGTATTGGTTGAGTCTGCGGACTTGAACAAAGCCTCAGGTGTCGACGCTGGTAAGCAACCTTGTCGTCAGGCTAAAGACTGCATGGCTCTGAGCTACCACAGATTGCCAAGCACTAGAAGACATTCCATTGACAGGCGGCGAATCGGACGAAGTCAAAGCGTAGCCACTGACCCAAAGCAGTATCCAAACAAAGACGACGTTTGAAAGGCAACCGGCGCCTATGCGGTGGCAACCGTCGCTAGTGTTCATCCAATAAATAGAACGACGTAGGTGGTTCAAGTTCAAATGCCACCCCGACCTCTCCCAAGTTCCTAACAGAAGTGCTGCACAAATTTGGGGTACCGACAACCCGAAGTTTGGTGTTACGGTACGTGCACAACACCCATTTTTAGTACGAGCCAGTCACGCTCATGGCAGTCTTCATCCGATCATGTAGTATAGCAGCAGTCGATTGTGACTAAGGCACACGCAGCCCCAATAACGCAAGTCAATCAGAGAAGACTGTACTCGTAAGTCAACAGTCAGCTATGGCATCAGGAAAAACTCCCTTGTCTTGCCAAGTAAGAAAAGCCCTTCAAGGCTTGAAATGTGTATCTTACTTGACAAGACAAGTCATATGCTTGAAGTACATGACAAAGCATCCTAGTGCTTCAATTCAATACAGCATTTGCTTTTCCAGCATATAATTGCATCTCAGTTTCTCAAGTCTTGACAGGCTTATATATTCATTTTAGTTCTCTCAAGCATAATAGTGCTTTGGCGTCTTGATCAAACTACCCAAATTCTTGAATGTCTCTAAAATAATAGCTTTCATTCGGACCTCATACTACAGCGTATTCGTATTCATCCATAGCCTTACAGTGATGTACAATATTACATACAGCTCATCAATAGTCAGTTCACATTCCAGCCCACCAATGCCTGTGAAACGCCGCCCTAGAAACACCCATTAACAGCGCAATGTTGCAGAGGATATTCTGGAATCTGTACACTGATTAGCATTTGATGTAGGATTGTAAGGTAATGCTCACTGAGAACTGGCTTAGCGTAGACCTATGTCCAGTGTCAAGCTTCTGCAACAAGACATACCTTGTTCAGTACAGCCAAAGGACAGTGAATAAATTATTTACCATCACTATGACCACCGCCCTGTCCGTCTTCGCGATCTGACACATTCTGGTCCTCATCTGCTACACCTCTTGGTGTTAATCCCCTTACTTTACAATGAAGATGTAGACTGACCTCCACGCTGCGTCGATGACGCCGACGGCTTTGACGACGACGGCTTTGACAACGACGGCTTTGACGACGACGGCTTTGACAACGACGGCTTTGACAACGACGGCTTTGAGGACGGCGGCTTTGACGGCGGAGGCGGCTTAGACGACGGAGGCTTAGACGACGATGGCTTCGAAGACGACGGCTTCGAAGACGACGGCTCGCCAGACTGAGTGCGTCGAGGCGCCTGCTTCGTACTGGCACTGGTGGCATCTACGATCTCGACCTCACTCCAGGCGATGAACTCATCGCCACCTTTGCTACCACCGCCTTCGTCATCTTCCTGGTCCTTCGACTTCAGGGCCTTATGTTCGTCGACGAGAACACTGAGACCAACAGTTAGTTGTAATTTAGTGAAACAGCCAGGGTACTACTTGCCTGACGTTGGTCCAGATCATCGCCTTCAATGACTGGTAAGCATCTAACGCGTTGTGTTCGAACTGATCAAGAATGCCCATGATGTTGCTCCACCTATGTATGTGTCAGCAATAAGCACTACCAAACAAAGAGAAGACTTACTTCGGTGCGTACATCTTGTTTGTGAAGTGGTGAGTTCCAGATGCTATGTCCACCAATGCGGCCTCGATCTATAGTAATATAGATCAGTATCTATCGGAACACAGTACAGTACACTACCAACACAGCACACTACACTACACTACATATGATCGATTCCTGCTTACCGCGTTGCAGACAAGAGCGATGAGGTTGCTGGGAACCTCGCTGAACCGGTCATAAGCCATAACAGAGGCCGTGTCTCTGTGTCCGTGGAACCAGTGCTGCGTGATGAGATCCGAGATGGCCCTGTGGTGGAAGGGCTTCTTGCGATTGACGACACTCGCCTGGGTTGGGTTACGCAGAGCAAGTCAACTAGCCCTCTGATGCACAGATTGTAGCTCTACTCACCTTCACGTCGACCTCGTAAGGAACGTCCGCCTGCCAAGCAATGTCGATGTCTCCGAAGATGAAGTTAGGCATCGAAAACTTGCGGTGCACGTTGGATTTGAGGAGGAACATTGCAGCCGCGACTTTGCGCTGGGTCGAGAGGCCGCCCAGGCCGTAGGCACTGTCGACCACGATCTTCGCCTTCTTCTTGACCTCGTTCCTGAGCTGAGACGCGCCTGTCCATACCTGCCACGAGAGACTCAGCTTGCACAATGTGATAGAAAACGGAACTTACGAGGCTGGCAACGTTGTCGCGGAGGACGTGGTTCCTTTTCTTTCGCAACGTCTTGAACCCACTCACAAGGTAATCAATCTTCTTGCCGTCCTCCGCACGATGGTGGCGAGCGTCTCTCAAGGCTCTCTTGATGACGACGTGCTTGTGGGGCAGCTGACTGCTGTTCTGCATCTTCTCGGAGGTCCACGCGTGGTCGAGGGAGAGGCGGAGGCGTAAGTACATCTGCGCACATGTCACAATCGGCCTGAGGCTCTCCGGAAGGTCCCTGGTCTGTGCGCGCCGATGACGACCTTCAGACTTTGATCCATCCGCACTGCGGCGACGGCGACTGCCTCCACCTGCCTTTCCCGTGGAACGCTGGCTCTTGCTCTTCGGCCCCTTGACAACCTGCAACTCGTGTGCTCAAGATCAAGTCAGCGGACACAAGATAATTCACTCACAATCACATCATCTTCACTGTCCTCCACGGACTCGTCATCGCTGTCTTTCGATGCCTGCGAACCCTCATCATCACTCTCGGTGCTCGACTCCGACTCATCGTCTACCTCCTCGTCCGCCTCCGCGTCGTTCTCCGAATCGTTCTCCGTATCGTTCTCACTCTCCAACCAGTCGCTATGCTTCCTCTTCTTCTTTCTTTCTACCACCTTGCCCTTGTCTTTCCCCTTCGACTTGTCGACCACGGACACCTTCACCGTAAATCCTATGTTTACTGTTCAGAATATTAAAAGCTGGCGTGGTCACTAACCTTGACTTTTGCCCTTTTCGGAGGCGAATCAATAACCACGGCATCCATGCGCAAGACCTTCTTAGGAGGCCGTGCGGGAACAGTACGATGTGGTTCATCGTCATCCAACCCGCTGTCATCACGAGCGTTCCGCGTACGCTTGGCCCCGGTAGTCTCCTTTTCCTGTGTAGCGGGCGATCCAACACCTACAAAGTAGATTATCAAACTAGTATGGGCCAAGAGTAGATTGACGTACCGATAGCCTTCGCAATATTGAGCTCGTCTTGGTCGAGCAACGGCTGAGTTGAGCCTCTTGTGGCGTCGCCTTCCTCACTCTCGAGAACATTACTTTGCTGGGCTCTGGTCTTCCCAAACGCAGGCTTCGGTTTGGGTCTCACTGTCAGCCGATCTGCGTTAGTAGCAAGACACGTTGAATGGCACAGAACTCACCGCGCGGAGGAGCCTCTACCACCGTCTGCGCATCTGGCTTCTGTCCTTCTTCCACTTCCTCCTCGATAAGCTGGTCCTCATCTTCGTCCCCGCTGCTGTGGACCTCCACGTTCTTCTTCGGCCTCTTGCGTCGAGGTTGCTCGGCGTCCTCATCCTCGTCTTCGTCCTCGTCCTCGTCCTCGCCCTCTCCGCCCGACGCATTCTCTGCGAGCACGATGGCCGTGCTCATCTTCTGCGTGTCTACCATCGAAGCATTTGGGCGCTCACTTCACTAATTATACCCAAAAGAAATTATGCACTCACTCGTCCTTCTGTCTGCTGCCGCCCGCTTCGCTGCGAGCTCCATCTTCGCCTTCAGGCGGTCGTACTGCCTCTTCTCGGATGGCGACAGGACGTCCGGCAGAGAGCCCTTGCCATCTTGCTCTGGTGTCTCCTGCCTGCCGCGCTTGGAACCCGTGGTGGCCTGCGGTGCGGCTTTCCGGGCAGTTGATTTTTTGGAGGCTGACTCGGCGGATTTCACAGCGGTCTTACCGCCCTTGGGCTTCGTCGTCGGCTGGCTGGCCGACTGTCGTGCGGCGTTGCGTGAAGAGTGGCGAGTTGCCATGTCGGACAGCGGGTTACTATGTGCGCAAGGAGCAGGATGTTCGCCGGGAGCAAGGGTGCGGTAAATGTTGGCGAGCAGACACTTACATCAGACAGCATCAGACAGCACGCCGTGTGAGCGGCCTTGAAGTCCGACTCGCCGTGTGAGCGGCCTTGACGTCCGACTCGCCGCTGGGTGAGAGTTGGGAAGCCTTCTGTCGGCAGTAGTGATACACCAAGCTGCCAATGAGAGATGATCCATACCTCATGCCTGGTCCATGCGGCTCGAGGTTGACCAAGGTTCTAGAAGTCTTACAACACCGTTGGTTCCTCCGAGCGTGCTCCGAATCCTATGGCACATGACGTTAGTAGTAGATTTACTGACCGTTCAAAAATCTAAAGCGCCGTAGTACGTGTCGTTATAAGGGTGTAATTAGTGGTACTACAATGACTACAATGATAAGACACATTCTTATC